ATTATTGTTGCGGAGCGTGCAAAGCTGGACCGAGCGTGATTGAGGCAGAACATTCGCCTGAACACAGCCGCTGGTGGAAGCATGGTCCCGAAATGATGCGGAAACGAACGTTGGCTTAGGGTTTAGGCGAGCGAACAGCGTGGGATTTGAGTGGAAACCATCTTGAGGTTCGAGAGCTGCCAAAGCCTGAGGATAGAGTCACAGCCCGGCCAGAGACGATGTCTGCTGAGCAGAGAGCGGTGGACTGTCCACACAAAATCGAAGGACTTATCGGCTGTATGTAGGCCTGGTTGGAAATGGAAGGGTTAGCGGTCGTAAACAGCGAGAGACGTGGTTGAATCGATGGCCGGAATAGGTAGAACATGGTTGGACGGTACGAGCAGCAGTTCAACCGGAATAGGCGGAACGTGGTTGGGCGGTAGAAGCAGCAGTCGAGATTTAGGCGAGATTACGAGTGTAGGGTGGAGGCGGCAGTCGAGTACGATTGGACGGTAGAAGCGGCAGTCGAGATCGAGATCCAGTTGATGGAAGCCGGGTGATCCCCGTTGGAGGCTAGGAAAAGTTGACGCGTACGCCTGGCAGACACAGCATCCCAGCTACATCCCATCCTGAGCACAACCCAGGCAATTTTAGACCTCAAACGGCGCCCAATGTTTTTCCTTTCTAACATGGTTCCGATGACACAATATCGGGTGCCGCGGAGACTGTCAACGAATAGAATGCCATGAAGGCTGAACTAGATGTAATGTCCGAAGGCTAGAGGCCTGAAGGCAGCGCGGCGGCAGATTTCGGAGTGTCCGAGGACTGTGGATTCAGGAATGCCCGTAGGCTAGAGGCCCGAAGGCGGTGGATTTCAGAGTGCCCGAAGGCAGTGGATTTTCGGAATGCCCGAAGGCTAGAAGTTCTAGTAGAACGGACAGAATGCCACGGAGGATAGAGCAAGGGGGCACCGGCATTCAAACCGGCGACTAAGGGCTGGTCAGTTAGTCCGGCCGCCAGGCCGGAAAAAAATAAAATCAACTCCCACTTTTTGGCTGAGAACCGCCATTTGACGAGTTCTCAAGAAGTTAATTTGGGCCTCTGAGTGTTGTATACCTTCAAGCTAGCATGTTTACCCATCTGCACTCGTTACCTGAGTTCAAGTCCATATATGGTAAGAGAGATGATAATTCTCGAAAGATCATAAATTATCTTGGAAGGTTGTTTTGAAGGTTTGGATACTCCAGTTGGTGTCCTACATTGAAAAGGGCTCGATATCAATGGTCTGCATTGATTTTCCAGCGCACCGGCGACTTGAACACGTAATAAATTACTATATATGGTGCGTGGGAACATTACGTTAGTTAGTTAGTCCAGGGGTCGAGTCGGAAAAAAGAAAAACGGCCCTATATAGTTTTTTTGAATGCCGGTTCCCCCTTGGGATAGAGTAGATAGGTTGTGGCACATGCTGGAGTGACAACTAATAAATACAGGTACGGAGGAAGGCTAAAGCCAAGTAGAAAACATCTTGTAGAATGTTGAGGGCAGATGAAAGACCGCGTTTGAGACGTCTCTGCTTGATTTGAGTCGCATTGGCAACGGAGAAAGATAGGGGTGGACTGTGACGGAGACAAGTCTTCTTATGCCCGTGGGGGTACCAATTTATCTAATTATGCTTACTATGCCTATGCCTTATGCCGTGCCGTCGCACTTTTCATCAACCATCATGTTCCGCGATTTCCGTAGTATATACCTGGCTGTCAGTAGTTACGCTCTTCGGTCAATCCACCACTTACGCCAGTTCCCTCCCGTCTGAACTTGTGCCGGATCTCGACGCCTCTCGCATCCGTTACATGGACACTTGAGCGGATAGACCAGAGATGGATGGTGGGCTGAGCAGCACAGGCAGTGTGGGTTAAAGGTACTGAGTTGTAGACTGCGGGATCCACTAGGTCCAAAATTCGAAGGGCAGGGAATGGCCAAAAAGATAGGGGTCGCGCGGAATGCGCCCATTGGATAGTAGACCGTATCTGTGGCGTCGCCGGATGTGTTAGAGTGAAAGAGAAAAGAAGAAAAAAGAAAGAGAGGTCGCCAGAGGAGAGCTTGACGGTCGTTTGAATGTGGACATGGAAGTGGGAAGAGAAGAGCGTTCCGTCTCCGTCGGCCGTTGATGCGCAAACCCTGTTTTCCGATCACTCGTACCTCGATCACTTGAAAACGTCAAATTTTGGAGGTCCATCAAATCTTGAGTGACGCAGCGTCATGTTGGAGCCACGGGTTCACATCGGTGGTAGTGAAGTACATATATCTTGGTTCATCGGCCGCAGCAGACTACGGGGTTCAAGCAGGGGAGAATCTGAACGCAAATACTGTTCCTTGGAGTGATTCAACGTCGGATGCAGCCGCATTCGGCAGTTCAGTATTGTGAAGTTTCCTTGTTGTAGCGTCTGTTTAGAACTTCGAAGACACTAATTCGGCAGCACGTCCGTCCGATTTCTTCACCCGTGATTCCTTTCATCACCGAGACCGGCCCCGTACCCAAAACTGAATAAAGATAAGACAGACCAGGATAGGCTCGCTCATTCGCAAGTAACGGAGTAGGTTACGCAACTTATCTAGGTTACTTCACGCAGTCCGCTCACGACGAAGATGCAAAAAACTGAGAGGGAAACCTAGGGAGTGAACTGCATTTGTTCCACGCCCTAGGCACCCCTTCCGCGCCTGGAGGAAGGTTCATTACCCTGGCGTGGGACCGCTGGATTCAAACAAAATATTCCCATTGACATCACACGGCTCCACGTCGTCCGAACAAAAAGTGCCATCTACACACACCAACAGCCGGGGTGCGAGTGGGCGTCTTGAGTTCATCTCTACTAAGCTGGAGATCCAATGGATACATCTGGCAAGGGGGAGCTCGAGGTACGAGTACAAATTTCAATAATGTAATGAAATCCAACATTAATTATGGATTAATTTGGGGTGTAATTTGGTGGCAATTCCACGACTATTGGGGCGGGTGCGTTGGAATGCGATGCACGCGCTCCACTGTCCTCATGCTGCCGGACCGTCGGAGGAGAAATCGCTGCTACTCCAACCTTCCGTGCAGGGCGTACTGGGACCGCATCTGGGACAGTAGCCGGGACGCAGTTAACACCCCTCTTCCCCACCGAGGACCGCTCAGCTGGTGGGGACGAGTACGGCTCTATTGTAGGCTTCTCCGCGTCCGCGTCCCGCCGCCTTCGCTTCCGGCGGCAGAGATAAAAGGTGGCCAATAGCGACGCCAGGAACACGACGGCGCCTACAACGGCGCCGGTTATTGTACCAGCAGAGATACCACGCTTGGATGATGACGGAGCATTTGTCGCGGTGACGTAGAAGGCCCCGACGAAGAGCGGCGCGTGGTCGATGTCGCCGCCGTGCGTTATGACGAGGGTGTGGGGACCGTTGGTGAGGGCCGGCGTGGTAAACAAGGGGAGACTGCAGGGTTCAGCTTGCCCGTTACGTTGAAAGCGACTGGTGGGCCGCCGTCGATGGTGTACGATGCGGAGGTAACGTTGCCCGGATATTGACCTAGCGCGTTTCCAAAGAGTGTCACCGACGTGCCTGGAATACCTCAGATGTTTTGATCGAAAGGTACGGTCTGGATGTACGCACCGTGAAAGCTCAGCGAGGCCTGCGCGTTGGTAGTTTGGGTTACATGCTCCCCCGAAACGTTCGCCCAATTCGAATCATAGGTGATGGCCGCATCGAGGTGCTTGTATATCGTCGTCGTCGCAGATTCGAAAGTAGTGTTGGGAGTGGGCGTATAAGTAATACCGTCCAGATAGAATCCTTGCCCTTTGGACTGCACTTGAATCGTGAGATTGTGGGGCCCAGGAGTGACAGTATCCTGGGAACACAACTCCCAGTTATTCTCCGGGTACTTGAACGTGGAGTCAACTTGGGGTATCTGTATCCCATCGACGAAGCAGGCCCACGTCGGATCGGTGACGTTGTTGGCGTCAGTGGTAACGACGAGGCTGCCGCGCACGATGAGCGCACTTCCTGCTCGTCGTTATTAAACCTGGCGCCGCTGGGCATTATTTTGGACGCGCACCAGTAAAGTTAAAGCTGATGCTCGAGCTTGCTGACGACGTTGCATGGCTGGTTCCATTATATATCGGACCAAAGTTGCCAGCCGTCAAGGTGCCGGGGTCTGCGGTGAACCAGCCTACGGGTCCGTAGCGAATTGCGGGGTCGGTATCGTCAACGACTACCTGGCGAATGGACATGGGTGGCGAGGGGGAAGGGAAAAAAGACGCGGATCCGAAGGTGAGAAAACAACGGATCTCGTCTAATTAAGCGTCGTATACGTACGAAATGGAGATAGTATTTTCCAGCGCTCATCGCTTAGTGCAAGCGACGCTACCAATGCTAAGGAGAAGAACCCCTGGGGGCCTGATACAGAGCGTGCAATTGCTGGAGAAATTGTGAAGACAAGCTCTTGCGCTGAAGAGTTCGCCTGATTCTTTGCTGCGCGTTTATGTGCAATAGAAATCGATGCCTTACGGTTTGGACGGAAATGTGAGTGTTTGATCCACGTTCTGCATGCGTCATAATTCCAAGCGATGAGGCCCACTGTATATAGTTTGGCACATTATGGCAGTTAAGTAACTGCTTTGCGAACTTCGCCAAGCTCATGGCTGCGAGTTTCAAGACGTGGGCGGGGAACCTGTTCGAGAATTTGTCTCTACAGGCAGAAACTTCACGACGATGTGATGGTGGTAAGTAAGAAGGAAAGGGGCGATGCAATGGCGGTGCATAAATCAATCACGATTGATGATCAGAGCCGACGCAGAAAGCCGATCTGTCTGTAACTCCGATCGTACCGTCGAATATCTAAATGGACGGGTATGAGAGTTATCAGTGCAGCAGGCGGGATTCATAACAACTGAAAGAAAGTTCGCAGGCGATGGGTCCCTGAAGGAACTTTCGTGGGTTCGGTGGGGCCAGGGGGCTACTCGTCCCGAGTCGAACAAAAAGGGCCTAACTGGGAATTGAACCCAGGACCTCCTCGAACGCGCTATTGCCCTAACAAGGAATCATACTACTAGACCATCAGGCCGGTGTTCTTCAGCATGGTGATTGATATAAAGGGCGCGTTAGCTTGCACCGCCACAAAATGATCTGGACACTGATTCCGTAGAAAGTGCATATAGCCAACCGAAATAAAAAGATGCAGTTCTGGAAATTTGATAAGATGGTGCTCGGAGCTGGTATTTGGCGTTCAGTCATATCCGAACGGCAGAGGTATGTATGCGCCTAAATACAGGACCCAGGCATCAGCCAGAGAGCACGAGTTTTCCAGAAGTCAAGACTGCTTCATGCTCCAAAAGTAGATAGCATGCAGGAAATTGTTTGTCTCCGACAAGTCTCTGAGATGTACTTGGTAGCTATGCCGTGGAACAGGTCCCCGGCCGTATAGTGTACGCTGAGTTTGGGTGGTGGTACCCTGGCCACGTTGAACCGGCACAGGAATCGGAGGGGCGAGATCGAGCTGTGGCCAGCACGTTGTGATGAAGGACAGAGTCAAGTCGACGGTGTGCGAAAACCTTCAAAATGATCCGACTGCGATGCCGTGGCCTTTTACGTTGTTCTTTCACTCTTTGCCTCCTGCCACCATGGAAGACGAAGAACTTGGTTTCCTTGCTACTGCGCCAACGACTGATCAAGACACCGACGCGAACTTCTTTGTTCGCCACCAACTCTTAACTTCCCCGTTGTTCACATATTCTGCGTTCAAGCATCGTGCCGCTGACCTCCCGTCTCGTGGACTACTGGGGACAAGCGCAGGGGAGCGACTTTACTTTAACACCAACGCACCCAGTAGCGTGGTCATCTGTGGTGTCCAGGTTATTTTATTTTCTGTGTCAGGTCCCGAACTGAGCCCTGACCATTTTTTAGGGATCAGGGAAGAGCCATACCGTCTCTTGCCTCCTAGAGTGCGCACTTGTTGCGGATCCACGTGTTGGCCAGCTCCCGGAACCTTTGAGCGCTCTTGTGTACGCGTGTTCGAACGCTGCTCCGCACCACGTTGTGGCTTACTAGTTCCCTCTACTTATAGTTTTCATTTTGATGCTCAAGACACCAATCGCCCGTGCGAGGCAGCGTTCCTGTCCGTGCCGACAGATACCCCACGTCGTGCCGCTGTGCCCCAGGTTACCGTTCTATGCTCGTACGTACGCTTGTCCCATTGTGGCCTTCATCATCATTCAACGACTTACTAATTTAAAGACCGAGCAATCTCAACCGGCGCCGCCGCGCCTACGCTTCCCTGTCCAATGTCCGCGTGGAGCCGCTGTCCTTGTCAGAAAAAGACCTCACGGCGGACCGCATGCTCGCACTCATGGGCTGTGATAATCTCGAGGTATACCACACCAGCGCACCGCTTTGACCACATGTAATCATTCTATTGAACAGACAATGCCGCTCTATATGCACACCGCGCTGCTCATAATCCGCAACATGGGCGTCGACTTGTTCAGCTATTTAGGTGCGGTGGAGTGTGGATGGTGTGGATTCACGGCCTAACTGACTAGGGCACAGAATTCAAGCGCTTAATTGGCCTCGAGCGCCTCAATCCAATGCAGAAAGCAATGATCAAGCTTCGATTGGACTTATTGGATGCCTTTGTCCGCCCCAGCGCCGCCGATATCGAATCATATTTCACTACGGGAGGACTCGTCCTCGTCGATCTCACGGACCCGTTCCTCGATGGTAGGGGCTCCCGTCGAAATTAAAGATCCATATACTGATTTGAACATGTCGCTAGGCTTGACGGCGGGCGTGCTCTTTGACATCGTGCTCGGCGCATTCACACAATGGAAAACGGTGTGCGGAAAAGTCGTTGGTACGTTCGTTCGTTCGGAGCATCCTGTCTCTGTGCCTAATCCAACTCCGCGCGCAGTCCTGGACGAGGCACACAAATACCTCACCAACAGCGATTCCGCCCGTTTAACCCAGTCCGTGAGCAACATCATCCGCCTGCAGCGACATCTCGCCACCCGGGTGATCATCGCGACGCAAGAGCCGACGGTTATCCCGCCGACGATCCTGGACCTCGCATCCACTATCATCTGCCACCGTTTCTCCTCGCCCGCGTGGTGCGCCCATCTCGCACGCCACGTTTCTGCGGGAAGCAGCGAGTCTGCGGCGTTCGAATCCTGGTTCCAGCAGGTCATGCTGCTTCGCACTGGCGACGCACTCATCTTCTCCCCCGCGGCTCTGATCGCGGCTAATGAGCACAGTGTGAGTCTGTTGGGGAGGGAACATCTCAGGCTGCGAGTACGCCCGCGCCTGACAATGGATGGGGGCGCATCTCGCCTCGCCGTGGGACATACTTCCCCTACACCAGCCGCATTACTGCCGTCGCTCCCGACGCCTCCGACGCCAACGTTCTCCCTCCCAGCACAACACCGCCAGGAGCTGAGCACCGCGCCGCCGGTAGCTCCCAATCTCACACCGACTGTAGCCGGCCGTACCACGTCTTCCAGAACACCGGCAGCCGATCATCGCCCGACAGCGGACAGTCCTCAGCCGACACTATCTGTACCCTTGATCGTGGCCTCAGCTCCACGCGCGGTACCGGCACGCCTCAAGCACCTCGTGGGCTACCTCTTGCGTGGCGGCGCCGCAGATACGCCTCTGCCGTTCACTGAAGTGAGCGAGGCGATGAATGCCCATCCCGACGTGAAGAAGCTCAAGGGGTGGTGGACGGAGATGCTGCAGGAAGCGGTGGATCAAAAGCTCATCGAGTTCATCAACTGTGACGTCCAACAGCGGGCGCGCGGACAAGTGAAGAGGATACGGCTGCTTAACCGCCGCCCGCTGCTTTAGGTCTGAATATACCCGCGCGCAGATACCCAACACATACTGGTACTACTTATGTATAATCATCTCATCTCCCGTGCCAATACTTGAACACCTTTTTATCACCGATGCGGCGAAGGAATTAGACCATGAGATATCCGGGTTTGACCCATGCTGTCATTCACGTTGGAGGTACCTTCATTATGATCTCGGACCCAGACTGACCAAAGAGGAACGCTTCTCCTAAGATACAAAAGGACTTTCCCACGGTTGAACGCAAGTACGCGCATTTTCTCAGCTCTTGTTGGTGTCGAATTTTCATGGATCTATTCATAGTAAGGGTAAACAACAGCCAGATGGTCCGTGACATCCACTTGGGTACCTGGAATGGAAGGCCGACCTAGGAGTGTGACTGAAGGGATCGAACGCGCGACTTGCACAAACCGACCTGCACAAACCGTGATTTCTGCAGATCAGGCACCGCAAAGCAAAGCGATATGTTGAATCTCAATATCGACCCTGATGGCCGCGGAGCAAAATAAATCGTCAAGGTGCTGAACATTCGCTTGACCAAAATTAACGAATTCCGTCCACCGCAAGATCTATGCCATTGGAGAATATTTCCAGGCTTTCGTGCCTTGGGTACTCACGCAATGAACCCTACTCGCAACGTTTTAAACCATTCGACTCTGTGCCGTCTTCCCAAATCCAATGTCCTTCGAATATTGTGCGTTGGTGCTTCTCCGATGTCGCAGATCCCTTTGAGATCCTCCTCTAACCCTACAGAGTGTCTACATACGGGCCAAGGGGCAAACACCTGCCTGCGTGCGAATTCTGTCCCTCCAGGTACACCTCGAATCTGCCGAGCTTAATTTTTACACCGCAAATAGCCGACCACCTAGTCGGTCCAATATTTAACGTTTAACCTTTGCTCGCAGGCCGACCGTTCAATTCGATAGCTCTCAAGGAAGTCTTGGGTCCAATGAAATTATGGGGCGGGTCCAATGGCTCCAATCGTCGAGAACAAAAACTGAAGTACATATTATCCACTAAAACATGACAGCATTGCAACACAACGAAGAACAAAGTATAATCAGGACACGAGCGGCGGGGCCACCTACTCATCGAGCAACTTGACATTCGCTGAAACTCGCGGTTAATGGACATTCACAGAAAGGTAAGGCGCCAGCTTACCCACGAGGACCACTGAATACACATGACCCGAGTGAGCAGAATTAAGGAAAGTTTAAACCAGGACGCACTTCCTCCTCCTCCTCCGCCCCTCGAATCCACTGCGACGTAGACAGCTTGCGCGGCCTTCAGGTGAAAATTCTGTGCGGAGGGTTTCCAAGAATGGTGAACAACGCCATCTGTATAGAGTATGTCGCCTGGGTTGACGGCGAGCCATTCGAGATCCGGACCTGGACCTGTGTGTGGACGGAGGCGCTGAGATAGGTATTATAATTATGAGGGGGAGAAAAAAATTCTTCGAAGACACATACGGCGAAGAGAAATGTAGCATGTTGAGCCAACAAAACCCTCAAAGGTCGATTATACAACCCTGGTCGTCGCTCGGGCTGCACGATAGGCAATGCATCTTCCGGACTCGAGCCGACTCGGGATTCTAAGCCGGGGGGAGCGAAGGTGACTGGAGCGTCGTGTGCCAGAGGCTCCTCATCCGCCACGTTCGCATATAAATCGGCGAACGCGTAGATGGGTTTCCCCTCCACCTTTGCGATGCAACGCCGAACTGCCTGTGCGTCCCCAGGAGGTGCGATAAGCTCTCGGACAATCCGCCCGAGAGCAGGCTCCTCTGGGTCGAACGCATTCACGGAGACATCATTGCCGCTGCGAGTGTGTAGCCGATAGTACACTTGCCAAGAATCAGCGGGTGACTTTCGGAACTCAGTTATCAAGTTGTGGGACGCACCATACTGAACAGGTTCGGTAAATAGAACCGTCTCGGTCGCGGGGACGCCCTCTTTCTCCTGGTCGGTGAGGTCGTATACATACACGAGCGTCAAGGCATTCTCGGGAGTGAAAAGATTTCCCGTTCCCAATAACGAGTCGGAGATCTTCTCTGCTTCGTCCATCGGCGTCTGGTCAAGTGAGAACCGATACAAAGCCGACCGGAGCCCCAGAGGATCGGGTAGGCCTTCTGCGTGGGCGAGAGTGCGTTTCAAGGACGCAACGTTCAATGGCGGAGGAACGGACTTGGCCCGAATGCGACCCACAAACGGATTATTCACATCCGTG